AAAAAAAAAAAAAAAAAAAGAAAAAATGTGTTAGAAGGTATCACGTAATTATATATTTAATTTAATGTCAAATTTGAATTTACAACGAAGTGACATTATTATTGAATTTTTTCAAATTAATATTCAATTATATTTACAATTGATTAATTATGAAAACTAAATGCAAGTCCCATTTCCTCTTTTATTTTTATTATATTTATACTTAATTTATATTTAAATATAAATTAAATATAAATTAAATATAAATTAAGTATAATAAGTATAAATATAATATATATATATATACAGTGAGACTCACAAAAGTATTTGAACAATTGCAATAATTGTAAAAAGTAAATCATAACTATTATATATATATTTTTCGATTTGTTTGAAACTATACCTGTACAATCAACAGAATCATACCTAAATTCAATATTAATAATATATCACTAAATATTTTATAATATACACTTATCATAATTAATAAAATATTTCATGACAAATGTGTATTACAAATACTACAAATTAATCATTGTATATTAATACAAATATATAACAAATTATACAAAATATTACGTGAAATTTGTCGATGTTAAATTAATTCACATCAAATACAATTTAATAATACAAATTGTTTCTTCAAATTAAATTTCAACTAATCGAATTGAATCGAAGTAACTATAAAAGATACTATAGTTAAGTAAGAAGTGGGGAGATGGGGGTGGGGGTGGGTGGTTGAATTTGGTGGAGGGTTTTATCTTTTAGGTCTGACGTTCTTTAAAGGTACTTTCCGCAATGCGGAGGTCCTTTATTCATTGCAGAATATAAACCGCATCGTTGTTACGCCACTGTTCAAAGTATCCATCCACCACCACCACGCCCTGCAGATTCTCAAACGATGAGTAGTCGGATTTATTTACCGTGAACGTTCGTTTCCGTAGCACCAGCAACAACATTGGACTATCATTCTTTCTTCCTTTCCTTTCCTTTCCTTTCTTTCTTAGGTTTCTTCCTTTTTCTCATTTTTTTTTCTTTTTTTCTTTTACTTTTCAATGAACATGAGAAGTTTTCGGAGCTTCTCAAAAGCATCGACAAAAGATTTTCCTCGTGAGGAGGAAGAGGAGGAAAAGGTGGAGGAGGAGGAGGATAAGAAGGGGGTGGAGGGGGGAAGGAAGGGGGGAGGGAAGTAAACGAAGGATTCCATTTGATTCTTTACTCTGGGGTGCTACCAAAACCACGTTCGATTAGCTAGGTAGCTAGCTAGCTTCGATTCGTAAGAGAAATAGAAAAATAAAGAGATAGATAGATAGATAGATAGATAGATAGATAGATAGATGGGTGGATATACAATTGATGTGTGAGAATGAATAAAAAAAAAAAATAGAAATTTCTTGGAGAATATTCTCGCATACTACGCAATCATCATCACCACCACTACCCTGAAAGAGAAGATTCGTTACGATATTCTATTTTCAAACTTCATTCGATATTTCCGATACGAGTTCGATTAAATATTTGTGAAGGAAATAAAAAGAGAGAAGAGAAGAAAAGAATAGGAATAATTTAACAATTGGTACTACGTTACTCGACAATTTATTTTTATATTAAAAGTAACTCTCGTAGAATAAGAAGAAATTTTTGTTCATTTTCATATTAAATATATAAATGTAATTAAT